CTATGGCTACGACTACGACTACGACTACGACTACTACTACTACTACTACTACTACTACTTCTTCTTCTACTACTACTACTACTACTACTACTACTTCTACTACTACTACTACTACGACTACGACTACGACTACTCGCTGAACGACACTGAGAGGACAGGAACGACCGCCACCGAGACGCGAATTGCAGAAGCGAACGACTCTCTCCAGCCCCAGTGCACGGCCTTCTAACTTCTGATTCAACCCACTTAAGGCATCGCGCAGCACCACAGTTTTACCGTAAATTTAAGACACACTTGAGAGCAGGACAAAAGCCAGAGAAAGCAAGGGGAAGGGAAGTGCATTGCGAATGCGAGCAGATGCTGGTAATCGATTGTGAATGATGCAGTACTCCGCGCATGCTGTGCTGCGAAAACCGTAAGCCTGCTGAACGACGCATGGCAAAGCTCATTCCTCAATGCAACAAGAAGTGGTAATTACCCTCCTACAAGCTCGTCAAGGCTTGTGCTCGTCAACCACGAGTCGGAAAAGAAGCCTGCGGTGAACATGAAACAGTCTTGGGCAATGCTGCCGTCTTCAGTTGTGCAGAGGTCTGCTGCTGCTATGTTGCCGGACGATTGCGTCGTTCGGCAGCTCCCAGCTCTGCTCTATGTTGGGGGGTCTCAAGGTAGGGTGAGGGGCCTCCCCCCCCCTCCAAAGCAATAAATAGGAATAGTAATGGTACTAAGGTCGGGGAAAGGTCCCTCCTCTCTGTGCTCATTCTTAGACACTGGTGTATCACGTAAGCCCCCCGCTTGACCCAACCCAGAAAAGGAGCTGGCTTTGGTGATCAAGTTGCTCTGTTGCCATCAGGGATACCATGCACGCTGAGGTGCGCACTGCAAGCATTCCCTTCAAGAGGATCATCAACTCCGGAAACGCTTTCAACACGCGAACCTTCAGGCCGTCGTACAACATACTGTGTGCCCTGCATCTTGCACAGCATGCGCTGAGGACAGGGCAACTCTGGTCATGCGAAAAAGGCGCAACAGTCGCACCAGGCTAAGAAGTGAGGGGTCCAGCATCATGAGCCCTGCTCCAGACTCCAAACACATTGGCGCATTCAAACCGCAGTCTAATCGAAACCGTCCTTGAATCGTGGCCACCAGCACGGTGATGATCCATGTCCTGTCACTTCGGGCTGGGAGACAAACACACAGTGAGAAGCTGCTGTACTGTGCAAAAAGAGAGTACGGGCCCAAATCAGAGCGATTCAGAGCGACTTTACAAGCTGTGTTTCAACACTTGCGGAGCGACTCGAAGATCATGAAAACCAGGATGACCGCGTCGAACGCGAACCTCACTGCAGCGTCTGCTCAGCACTTGACAGCAGCAAGCTTTCGGGTTCCGGACCACATGTCTCTGAATGCATCCCACGAGCGCCTGCAGGAAGGCTTCATTCAGAGCTCACAAGAATCATGTGCAGGTGCTCAACTCTCGATCGTCCTGAAAGCCCCGTATCGAATGATCAACTCAGCCGTAAAGAAAGCCTTAGGCATTCTCTTTAGAGAAGCTGTCAAACACCTTGCGGGCTGAAGAAAAGAGAGAGCAAGCCCAATGAAGTTAAGCGTCACAAAACAGGTTCCTGCAGAGTGCGGAATTCTGCTTAATAGCATCAAGCATGTCACAAGGCACATGTCTTGCCAGCCGTTGCAGCGCCACATCACCAGGCCCCCACTTTGTTCAACTGAGTGTCTCCATTATTTGGAATTCTGGCCGGGCATATATCAACAGATCTTGGTCGTTGTAGTCGGTATCCACCGCGATCCATAGCGCGTTGACAATTATAACACAGAGCCTTGTTGCAGGCAGGAAAGCATCCGAATTGAGAAAGCTGCTTGAATGCCACATTGCGTGCAGTTTTCGAAGACTCTCGATTCCTCTCAGATGCGCACAGGTGGCGACAACACTGAGCAGGGCACGTTGTATAGTCAAAAAGCGGACTGCGCGCCAGTCGCTGACAAATACCTTCCTGACACACAAGGCTAGTCAGCAACCGTCGTCCGAACCAACGGCAACTACTAATGCAAATGCACTCATTCTTGTTGCGAAGTATTGTGAAGTGCAGATCCGCTACAATGATGCAGCACTGCCCATGTCGTTGGTCAGCGACGGACTATTTCACAAGGGCAATCATCGGAACAAGCTGGCACGATTTCTCCTGTAATGAAAATCTACCAGATTACGTTATAGCCAGCCACGAAAACATCAGGCAAAACCTAAGTGTGATTGGAACACGCAGGCAAGGTCAAACTGTGTTCCTCTGTGCACTTGCCGGGCAGCTGTCTTGTAGAAGTCTTGTACGTTGTACTTCTTCTGCTCGAGCAAATCTCGAACGGCCTGCAGGTTCAAAGGTGAGGAGCCAGAACCCGAGTGGCTGTCAAGCTGGCACGAGCTCTGTCGGCTGTTTGTTAGGCTCAGAGAAAGCTCCTCCTTTACAGAATCTGGATCCGGAAACACTCCGTTCGCCGGCTGCTGCACGATGGTGGAGCCTGGGTTGGAGGGATGCTCATGTATTGCCGATCAACATCAGGCTCCATTGCCTCTCTTGGGTTGACGCCCTGCTGCTGTTTCGCCGTCCTCTCAGAAACAGAATAAAGGGAAAGAGGCTTCGGTCGACGCGGGGTTTGAAATATCTGCACTGGCTTGATGGGCTGTTGCCCTCGCTACTGGAGTTGCAAATGTCTCATTTAACTCAACTTCACGGCATGCTTCTGCAACGTTATCGGGCTCTTTTGGAATCTCCATCTTCGAAGACTTCGCCCAGTAAGTTCGGGGTGTACATGCGGGCGTGGCGTTTGTCACGGTGAAGCACTTTGAGGCCTGAGACTTCGGGTTCGCTCGAGGGTCCCGGCATGCATTTCCTTCCAACGCCATGCCTCTTGCCAATTACAAGGTCGGCGGCGTGTTGGCACCCCAGGTTGGCGGGGCGTTGGCACCCCTACACTTAGTGTGAGAGCACGGAAACACTGGCAAACTCGGGTTATGATGCATGTAGGCTTCAAGAAAGGCTTTGGGACCAAACAGGACTTCTTCTTGCCTCCAAGCCCAAACTACTTGTCTTGTCCGAAGGCTGCTGGAAACCAAAATGGAGTAGTATCATTGTTCTCATCCCCCTCTCCCCCTCGCCCACCCCATGTTAAAACCCGTCGAAGCCTGAAGACGCTGAAAAAAGTCCGAAGACCCCGAAGCAGCAGAAAGCTTGTTTCTACCGAGTTCAAAAGGTGAAAACTACAGGAAACCGTCAATAGCCTGAAGAGTCTGAAAAAAATCGGAAATGCCTAAAAATCCGAAGACCTCGAAACAACAGAAACGTCGCAAATACCAGGTCCAAAAGATAAGAACTAGAAGAAAATGCACCACGCTAACCATGTCGAAGAATGAGGAAATTTCAGGAAACACAAACCCTCAAAAAACATCTCCGCTGTCTGGGAGAACACCTACGACTTGCGGCCACATTTGCATGGCAATTACAAACGAGGCTGTTCCAACCAAAACGACTACGAGGCCTCCCTCCACGTACCTCTCCCTAACTCAGTTTCAACTTCGGAGCTTCCAAAACTCAGGACCTCGGTGGCCGGCTTCATGGACATGGCACGGCGAAGTCTTTGGAATGTGGAAGGCCGCCGAGCCTGTCACGAACTAACTGATATAGAATGCAAAGTGACAGGTCGCTTGTGTTTTCGGTCATACCTCCTGCGATGACGAGGAGGAGCCTGTCCATGCGCACCGGCACACAAGCCTTGTTGTCCTACTTCCTGCAAGGCTGTTGTCGCGCACCTCGCTGTAAAATTTTGTCAGGAGCATCATCGTCGGGCTCCATCTCAGACCTGAGCCGACAACGCCATTGGACACACCATGTCAAAGAGCGCACGAAGGACTGGCATGAAAACACACACACACACAGATCCAGCATAGATTCGAGGAGCTGCTGCTGCTGGGCTCAGCACTCAGTGGTGCATCTCTGAGCCGCAAACGTATAAGCTGCAGATGGAGGCTTGGGGAAGAGCTTCAACAGTCGGTCAGCACACTCAGCACACTCTAAAGTTGCATCAAAGCAGGAACTTCTTTTCCAGGCTGTCAATCAAACATGTCATCGTCAAGCTCAGCCTCACGCTTTCGCTTTTTGTCCTTCTTCTCCTTCTTGTGTTCCTTCCTGTCTTTGCTCTTCTCCTTCTTGTCTTTGTGATGCTTCTCCTTCTTTTCTTTCTTGGCTTTTTTGTCCTTCTTGTCCTTCTTCAGTTTGGCTTCAGAACCGAAGAAGTCCTCCGAAGTACTACCGGCATTCGCATGCCATGTTAACAGCAGACAGAGGAACACGTGGGCCAGAAAGAGGAACATCTCTGGGAGAAGAAGCTGCTTCGCACGGGCACAGCGACAAGAACAGAGTGTGAGTTGTCTGGCCTGCTGATTGCCTTCCTCAAACTTGTCGTGAAACTCTATCACCTGCCATCCAGCAGGCTGCACAAGCAGCTGCTTCTATGAGCAGGTACTACCTGTAAGACTCTGTCGCTGGCTGCTTCCAAACTGTTTGCATGTGCGAAGAAACACAGCACAAGCAGCACTTCCAGCCTGAAACCTGGCTGAGCCAGAGAAGCTCCGCACTTTTTCTGCGCTTGCGCTTAGGCCAAACTTAAATCCTAAGGTCCTACATAAACCCTGAGCCCTTGGATGGTGTTGAGGTATTGCTCCGACTGGCTACATGAAACTCCTGCTCAGAATGCCCGGGCCCTCACAGAAAGGCCTCGTCATCTTCGAAGAGAGCTGCCATGTCAGCGACATCTTCGCCACCCTCCACCACGTCCTTGTCGGCAATTGCCTTTGCAACCCAGGCTGCGTGCTTTTTAACAACAGGGCTTCCCTCGTCACCGTGCCTGCTCCGGAAGCTGCAATGCGGGCACGCTCTCCTGTCAACAAGTGATGGAAACATGCTGCCAGCTACTAGCGAAGTGTCTACCGTCGTGACAAGAACACGAGCGTTTCGCGAAAGCCGATTGCTAGCAGAAGCCATACATCTTTCATTTTAAGGTCTTGTCGCTGGCTTTTCATTCCTGTTCGCTGAGATTTGTCTGCACTACTCATGGCATAAACCATGGCAAAGTACGAACAAACTTGAAACTCTGACACGCCCATTGCCAACATGTCACACTCGCACTCCTAGAGCTAACAGCCAACTGGCCATGGAATGTCGATCACACCGGGCCCAATGACCCGGCTGCGGGTTGTGCACTGCTCGCAACACTCCGATTCAAAAACACATTGACATAGTTAGCACTATGGTGGAAAACTTGAGACGATGCCACGAAAGCTAGGGCAAAGAAAGTAACCAGAGTCGACAGATCTTGGGCAGTGTTGATGCAAGCATGCATGTAGTGCCATGAAGCCAAACGCAAGTTGCCATGTTGCTTAAGCAGACGGACCATGAAGGACCTTGAGGTGGGGGGACCAAAGGCCCCTCCCCCCATCCCCCTCTTAAAACCATTGGGAACGGACCAGATAAGGTCCTGCAAGCAATTTTGACCTTTCTACTACCTAAGTGAATGGTAAACGACAACTCCCGCAAGCTCCACAGAGCTAGCTTTCGTGATCACGATGCAGCCGACTCATTGAAAGAAGGCTTTCTCGCACACCTGTCGAGAGTTGAGCCAGTTGCGCAATAAGACCTTCTGTCAACAAGCCAACAGGATCTTCCGGGTGATGATCAAGTACTGTAATCAGCTGCATGTTGCGAAGCCCGGCATGATGAAGTCTTCAGCACGCAAGGCTGCACACGATGCAGCCGGTTGCTGCCTGCGTATTATGCCGATCCCGTGAGAGCAAGTGATGCCTGGGTTTGCACAAACACCTCTCAAGGTGCTTTGATTCAGTAACTTCCCGTTGACACATTCACCATGTGCGATAGGAGCCGCCTGGCCATGTGAGGCCGATTGGACGCGCCTGCCGGCGACCCCTTTTTGCCACAGCATAGTTGATTCATCTTGGTTCTTGATTCAGGCTTGGTCCTTGGTATTTCTCCTGGAGCACAGGCTGCACGACACTTGAAATCCAGCCAATGCCCAAGCCTGAATAAAACTGAATTGGGAATAAAGTCAAAATTTGAGCTTGCCAAAGCGAGCAAAAGCATCAGGTGACTCAGGGTCACGATTTAGGGTGGGCTCAGGAATGCAAGGTCCGCATGCTAGCTTGCTTTGTGCGCAGGTGTGTCTTCGGGACGCATCTCTGCGCGACTATTTAAGAATCTCCGTGCTGTCACCCGCTCGCATGGGTCAGCTTGACGAACCACTGTGTTGCTTGCGTTTAAGGTAGATCACAGCAAAACCGCGACGAAAAACTTTTTCTGGGAGAGTTTCGGTGGCGGCTCATGGCATTGGAAATGACAATAAGGGGACCACAGAGACGAATGGACTTGCTCAGCAGACAGGCCTCCTTGCTGAAGCTGGAACTGCTTTGCAAACATGCTGTCGCTTCCAAAAAGCAGCCGAAGACACCGCTGGCATCACCATTGCTAGCGAAACAAAATGCTGCACCATCATAAGCTTCAAGTTCGTGCTGCCTGCTAATACCGACACAACAATCGCAAAGTCAACCGGGGCACCGGACTTCTTGAACGGAATCAAACTTGCAGTAATCCGGGCTCAGAGCTACGATGTTTGATGCCCCATATAGTGAAGCCGTGAAAAGACGAATGGGTCCATTTTGTGGATTGATATGGGAAGGGGGGTCTCGATGCCCCAAGCCGCGGAGGTCTGGTAAAATAGCGAATCTGGTCAGTAGACATAGACTACGGCTATGAACTGCACAGGCTCTAGACTCTAGACTACAGAGAAGCGAGACTAGACGAGACGAGACTGGGTCGCATTGGACTGGACTGGATTAGACTAGACCAGACCAGACTTGCCACACCATTTCGTGGGAAGTAGAGCATGCGCCCAGTCGGGACCCAAACCATGCTGCTTCCCAAACTTGGTTGTAATGATCTACGTACTTAGTTTAAACTTAGAAAGATCACACAAGACAGTTAAATCAAAATTCCACTGGAGATCTTGATAGGAAGCTCCGAACATTTAGTGGAGACTCCTTGTTTGATTCAGCCAGGTTTAGAGTAAGCATCAGTTCGGAGCCACGGCTGTGCTATTTCCCGGACAAGGTAAATGCGCTAGTTACGGTGATCGACTAATGAAAGGAACATCTACTTCGAAGCTGATAGGGTTCGATTCAACTTTAACTGCTGATATTTACAAATACGGACGGCAAACCATCCAATTAAATCATGACTCAATCGGAAATTCTGGTAGTGACTTCGCACAGAATTAAAGCGAAATTCTCCTAGCCTGCAACCAAATAACGCTCTATGACTGAGGAGACAAAATGCGGCAACTTCACCAGAAATAATTGAGTCAGGAGTTCACTGCTTGTTCGACGGATGCACAGGCAGGCAATGAAAATCTGATTCCATGAATTGCATCGCTGGAATCATTGGGTTTCAACACCACACCTGCACAATTAGCCCTGAACAGCATCCCTGAGATTTGTACTTGGTGACCACACTAAAGCTGCTATTACTGTCGGCGAGCCCCTCAGTCCCCTTCCGACTGGCCTCTTCCGTGCGCTTCTTCTGGCAAGATTGGTGTAGTCAGAACCGCGCTCACATCAGGACTGGGCTTGCGCCTTGCTTGGTCGTTGCGCTTTGGAGTCCTTCTGAAGCTCCATATTTCTTCCCAGCTCGATGGTCTTCGTTGTGTCCATGAGGCGTTGAGCTTTGTCCTCATTTTCCAAGTGCCTCCCGAGCAAAGGTTGGATGTCACTCTAGAAGTAGAAGTATCAACTTGCATCTCAAGGCCAAGCAAGCCGTGACGGCACTGCGCCAGAATGCGCCAGACAAACAGACGGACAGACAGACAGACAGACAGACAGACAGACGGAAGGACGGACGGACAGACAAACAAACAACTGCAAGCGACACATCAAGTTCGCACGACGGCACCTGGGAGCTGCAACGAAAACTCATTGTGTTCAAGTCCTGCTTGCATAAGATGGGCCAACTACCAGCCAAGTGGTATTCCTCTCTCGCGACTTGGCTCAGCCAGCAAGCCAGCTACTGTGCAAAGCCACAGATAGAGAGAGCGAGAGAGAGTCGTTTCTTTCAGCCTCAACGCTGCAAAACGTCTTCTAAGGTATTTTGCGGCACCTTTTTTCTGTGAGGATGCTTCGTTGATGGACGGGGGGGTTGCAGACGTCGCAGGGCGCAGAAGCAAAGGAGAGGAAGTGTCGTCGTTTTGCTCTTTCTCTGAAGTGCTACTGACAATGACAAATAATGACACGTGATAACAACATGCCAGCAACATGAGGTACAGTCTCATGGCGTCTCTTGAGACGATCAGTATTAATGCGGGAGGGTCTTTGTTGGACGAGCACGTCAGCACTTCCATCCAGATGGTCGCTGAAATCAATAAGCGGTCTGCTCACTTTTAGAAGCACCGACAGAATGTACGAACACATTAAGCATCAAAAGAGCAAGGAAGCAATGTCCCACCCGTAGCACCAGCCACACCACAGCCGATTACCATCGAGTTGGAGTTTTCTTCAATTCAGTGGTCGTGCGGGACACCCGCGATCTTCAGCAGCGCGCACCGTGCTCCTACCATCCGGACGACAGAGCAGGGACCACAGTGGGCAGAGCACTAGCTGGAGCAGCACAACAACACTCATACTGTGGGAGGTAGCGAGATGTCGCGAGTGAGGGTTCGCAATCGGTGACAGAAGATTTGACTGCATCTGATGAGAAACATCCACTATCCAGGCGTCCGGCTTCTCTTTGTCTCGAATTTGTTTGCCCTTGTTCTTTTCCTGATACAATGCTGCTTCAAGCTTGTTCACGCTGCAATACCGCTGTGCATGGACAGGTGCTTCTGATTGACATGCAGCATTTCAAACTTTTGCAGAAGGACCGGGTCCCTTCGGCAAGAAAAGGCGGCATCGCAGCATGCCGGAAATCAAAAGATTTGGAGCGGAAAGATCCGTCTTTAAGCAACATATAGCAACATTGATGCATGAGTCACAGGTCTAGTCTTTGAAACTTTCGGAGTGCACCTTTGCTTCCGCCAGCCCGACTGTGGGGCACTGTAAGCATTACATCTCTGCTGTCACTGGTCTTCGATCAGCAACAAATGGAAAATCAGACGGTGAGGCACTGGTCGACTCCCAAAGCGGTCACCACACTAAAAACTTGTTACATCGTGCCACAACCCAGGGGCAGCACCGTCGAAACAAACAAAAGGGAAAAACATTGACTACCTGAATGCAAATGGTCGAATCGTCCGAATCATGCGATCTTCAGTTCTGCCCGCCGCAGAGAAGTCGAAACTTCTGCAGCATGATCATGGCACGGGTGAATGAATTGACTCCTGAATTATTCATCTGCCTCTGGGCAGAAATAATCCGGAGAGTTCATCACCAAGCTCGTAACGCACTCATTGTGCCCCACACTGACCTGGGCTTCAGCAAGTCGTCAAAACTCGCGGGTTTTGCCGTGCTCAGAAATGACTCTACTTGCGATCGCCAGGCCACAGGAGTAGAGCTGCCAGAAACCTCCGAAGTCGTGGGCTCGAAAGTCTTGCTATGGCTAGGACGTGCAGCCGCCTCTACGGAGTCACACAAGTGACCAGGAAGATTGTGCTCACAAGTCTGGCGGTTGAAGTCCCATAGCTTCATGGCCTGACACCCGGTGGCTTCCACATCCATACTCCACCATAGTCAATCATGGGTTTCTGCAACCCTGTTACTACGGCCGGCCATAGCATGATGCGATCTATCGAAAACAGATTGACAAGTTACAGGAAGGGCACCTGCGGCGAGCCACACAAAGCCTTTCCATGTTCCCAGTCCACCGACATGGTGGTGACCTCGAGCGAGGAACTGCTGCGCTTGAAGGTGCAGCTCACAAACCCGTATCAGGCTGCATCCCAAAGCTACGGTTGTCGAAAAGAACGTATAGTTTAACGCAACATTCAAAACATGATAACCGTAACTCAACGCATAAAGAGACCAGCGAATACAAAAATTACACAGTCAACCGACGTTAATTGAAGCATGTTCTTGCCTGTGTGAGGCGATCCTTTCCTGTTGCTGTGGCTTGTGCTTTAGTTATCTATTAATTTTGAGCATGTCTCTGAATCCGCCAATGCATGGTCCTGAATCCTGCCCGACACTGGAGGAAGCAAGAGAAGCCTTTATAGAAGGCTTTTCCCTAGAAAACCTCGGGGTTGCGGGTCTTGTTTAGTCTCTCCTTCCCGCGCGGAAGCGTTTACTTCTGAACGTTTGCATGGACGTTGCGGGGCTGCATGGGAAGGCTGTAGGGGCCGAGAAGAGTTTGGGGACTGGCAAAGGGCGCTGTGTGGGCACCGAGCATTCCGCGGCTCGACGCTGGGAACCGAGAAGCCGTTCGCCACGCGATGGAAAGGGGGCTGGGGAAGGCTGTGGGCACCGAGCCTTCGCGGGGCAAGGCCGTGGACAGGGACGGGCCAGAGTCTGGGTTGGGTTCTTGTTTAGTTAGATCTTCCCTCATGCACAGCAGCGTTCAATTCCAACGTTTCCGTGGGAGGGTTTGTAGAAGGGCATGGGTCCAAGGCTTCATCTGCATATGCCATCGAGGCCATATTCCTGTGTTTGACGCCTCAACAAGGTCTTACAGGAGATGTAGGAACATCTGCTCAAGCAAATGCGGAAATGCATTTCCAAACAAAGCTTGTCCTTTGCATCTCCCAGTCTAACAAAGTGCAGTTCAGTTTCGGCCACGCTCTGTACTGTCAAAAGTGTCAGAAAGCTCAGGCGCAGGCCGCACTACCGTGGACTAGCAGAACCAGACATTCCTGAGCAGTGGAGCATTCTGGTGCCTTCGTGCACTGGAAGCCGCAGCAACTCACTGCGGCCTAGCTGAGATCCCTGCTTGTGTCTTCAGATCCCAGAGCCGCACTGACCTGTCCCAGGAGCTGCTCAGTGCGCGGCCTTCAAGGGCGCATTGGACGCTTGAGAAAGGGATCGGAGATGGACGCCGGCCGGCCTTCCTTAGCCTGGAGCGACACGGCAGACACACCGTTGGTATGTCCACGCAACGTTGCCAAGCCTGATGCTCCGGGAGCAAGCAGATGCATCTTAGCCAACTTCGTCATCGGCGAACTTCTGAGCCAAGAAACAATCACCAGTAGTCAAATTCCAGACGCACAGTGTAAAGTCCTGGCACACCGGCTTCTAGTATGGCTACTGCGAAGCTTGCTTGCCCAGTTAGGCCTAAGCTTGGGAAAGACGCGACGAAAAGACAGAAGACGGTCCGCGGATCCACTCAAGGCCGTCTTTCGGGACCAATCCACATCTGCGCACCAAACCTGGCCAGCATCGCGTGGTGCAGTGAGTCTTGCGCTGTCAATAGGCTGGCTGATCTGCATGGCTGGGCATAGGCACTCGATGCAGTCTGTGCTCTGCAGAAAAAGGAACGTCCAGCACAAAGAATCCATAGATGCACCTCGTCTTGGTGTCCATTCAGAGACCGGATGCAGCTGGACTCTGTGCCAAGATCCCATAGCTTCAGCGTACCTCGTGTGGCATGCATGAGACGGGCACGAAATCGAACAGTAGGCTTTGACAGACAGAAGTACGACCGCAGGTGCGACAAGGGCTGCACAAGCCTGAACGCCGCTCACATGTTGGATTTACTTGTTGGCACTGGCGGCGGTCGCAACACAAGATAAGAATTCCTGCCCTGCAGGGTCTCGCAAGCACTTCAAAAGAGCTTCCCCGAGAGCACAGCTTTCTCTGAGACTTTCGTAGATTCTAGTCAACGGAGAGGATATTGATCTCTGTCCGGAAACTCTCTGCGAACTCAAGAAGTTCATGTCAAAGAATGCCAACGGAATCTTGCAATCCACAGATGCTTGCCACATGAACCCATGCTTGGTGCTCCAAATCAGCTTTGGGAAGACGTCGAGTTTGGAAGTCCGGGCAGGGGTTAGGATGGGATCGATCCCATGTAAACAGAACTGACAAAAGATTCATCACATTGCTCAAACATCTACAGACGAATCAAGAGGCAAAACGCGCCGATGCCGAGCAGAAACCACCACAAGACCCAAAAACACTTAAACCGAGACAGACAACCACCTGCCACCCGGCAAAAGAGACCCAATAAACACGAACACAAAAACATGAATCAACTGAAACGAAGGACGCAGAATCCATTTAGTTTTTGGAGCAACACTTAGACTCCCAACAGACGGGAGACGTCCAGAAGCTGGCCTCCTAGCAAGTTGTCCAACAAAGCCGAATCAAATAGCTGAGAGTAATTGCTCAAGAATCAGAAATGAAATACAACTGAGCAAAACGAAAACCGTCAAGAGCACAACCAATCATAAATTAAATAAAGACTGACCACAAGAGCCAAGAGCACTATCTGGAAACAAGGAAAGTTGAACGTACAGAAATCGCACACGAGTCTTCATAAAGCAGGCTCCAGTATAAGGCAAATCACAGTTATCAACACATGGCGATGAGCAAGAACCTATTCAAAAACTTTGGATGTCCCTACGGGTACCTTTTGGTTACTTACAAAACCTTGAGACAAAGCTGTGAGGCATCACGTCAAAGCTGGACCAACACAAAGAAGAGCGCGGCAGAACTATGCAGACAGACTGACCATGTACCACTACGTCCATATACCTTGAAAATCTCAAAACCAGCCAGGGCACCATCACATGAACCGCTCAAAGCACGACGACGGGGCCAGTGAAGCCTTCATCACTCTGCACCACTTTCGCACCGGTAGAACTTCAAACGGGGCAGCAAATGCAGTGCCTGACAACTTTGACCATGCCATTGTGGCCCGTGAAGGTGCCGAGGCATGCCTTGCGGAAAGCTTGCACAAGTTTGCGATCTTGGAGCCTAGACAAGGCATCCTTCAGAAGAGGAGCGCCAGTCTCGCTGTCCCATATCTTCACTTGTTTGTCCCATGAACCTCGCAAAACTCCTTCTCGAAGCACGACGTCTTTAAGACCAGCCTGCTACCCTGCCTGTGAGAATGCGGCCGCTGGTGTAATCGAAATCCAAGCCTGAAAGTGCTAAGCACCAAAGCAGTGGCCACATTTCGTGGCCAATCCGGCACAGGACGAGATTACTATACCTTGTAAGCGAACGGCAGAAAGCAGGATGGTCATCCACTTGGAAGGCTTGAACCTCAACAGAATCGGGTGGCAGCATGCAAACCGAATTACCAAAAGCTTCGGCCATCACGCAGATGCAATGATCCAAATCCCACACGCGAAGAGTGCAGTCCTCAGTGACGTCGGGTTGAAAAGCTTGGGTTGTTCCACATCCCGCTGTCTACTCCTTTCGCCGTTTGAGACTATCTAGACAAGTACCGCATTTCCACAACTTGCCGTGCTTGCTCTGCCGAAACGTCGGTACCAAGCTAGACGCACTGCCATTGAGGAAAGGAAAGCTTGTCCATGAGCAAGACAGACAGGGTGGGACGTGGTAGGCGAGGTCGCTTCGGCCCACCACGGATGCTCTCTCCAACAAGCCCCGGCACCACACAATGTTTCCATTCTCTGGGCCACTCTGGATGCTCTTTCTCTCTCTCCCTTATGAATATTCTGGTTTCATGGACGTTGGTTGCCAGGTTTGGACAACTCTGAATCGAGCAGACGTCGAACCATTTCCATGAACCGAGCTCGGAAGTCGGAAGCTGCTAACAAAAATTCAAATTATGAGCACACTGGCTGGGCAATCGAACGGCGGAGGCAAAAAAGTCTGCAGAGTGGGGGCATTAGGGGCTAAGCACAGCTGAGCAGAGAATGTCC